TGTTTTTCCCAAATTTTTTTTTTAACCCAAAAATTTGTTTTTTTTTTTTTTTTTTTTTTTTTTTTTTATGTATCTGAAGTACAAAAATAAATCAGTGCATAATTGTAACGTGGAACTCATATGAAGTATGATTTTTTTTTCCCAGTCTCTTTTTGTTTTTGGATTTTATTTTATTTAATTTTTTTTGCATAAACGATCTTAAAAGTGTTGTGTGTGTTTGTTTTCTAGCCTGATCACTACTTTTTTAACCCCTTTTTGGACATAGTCTAGGGCAGGGGTGCCCAAAGTCGGTCCTCGAGGGCCGGCATCCTGCACGTTTTAGTTCTCTCCCTGCTGGTGGTAATAATCTTTTCAGCATGTCAATATTCTTCTTAGATCTTCTAATGAGCTATCATTAGATCCAGGTGCGTTAAACCAGGGAGAGAACTAAAACATGCAGGATGCCGGCCCTCGAGGACCCACTTTGGGGACCACTGGTCTAGGGTTTCTTCATCTAGTTTAAAAAGTATGATTTTTCTTCCAATATAAAAAAAGCACATTCTTTATGTGTCCTGTGTCCCCTTTGTAGGACATAGGACAAGTTTGTAGCTTGTGTCAAACTGAAAATATAAAATTTTTCCAAAAGTTGCTTTTGTTCACCATTCTCGCATTAGTTCTAGCTGTATAATGCATCAGTTATAACTGATTAAATCACCTATGTTCTCTAATTTATTTGTAAGGCTTTTGTGATTTATAGTCAAAGAATTAAAGCCATGAGCCTTTTTATGAAATATTTCATCACTATATTCTGAATCTTTGAACTAATGCAATGAGTATCTTAAATTTTTAATGGCCTTTCTGTATTTTATGAAATGTTACTTGCTGCTAGTTCTTGTCTTGTTCATAGGACATCATGGTGCAAATAGTTTAAACTATGAATTTTATTTTATTTTTTTCTAAATCTTTACTAAAGCAAACTTATCCTTACATTTCATAAGTGTGGCTCTTTATTTCATTTACGAGTATGATTTACCTTATATTTTTTCTTAAAAATAAAAGAAGTTCTAGATTCATTTGAAAGAGCATAACTATTCAAAATGCAAACCAAATTCAGAGCTAACTTTGTTCCCCAACAAATTCCCTATTCACGTCAACCCAGCAACTCCTATCACTGGTTTTCAGGGCAGTCTGCTCTGCAGGCTTTATATGGCTCCTTTTTCTAGCCCACCTGGTTCAAATGAGTAGGTCAGCTTTTCATCGGGCCCTGCTGAAGCGTTATAATTACCCCTTTTAATTGAATCAGGTGAGTTCATAGCATGTGAGATGTGAGGCATGCAGTGCAGGTGTGTGGGAGAGGTTAAGGACCAGGATTAGAAAATGGTGCCATGCAGAGTGCAGACAATTTTCCCAGTCATTTTCTGCAGTGCTTGTTCTGTCCTACTACTTTCTGCGATACTAAACAATTTTAGGCCTGTTTGGTATTCAGAAAATCTGAAGATCAAACTTGCTGCTATGTACAGCCAGCAATTCTTCAAATTGTTGATTTGAGTCAAAGGTCACATTTCAAATGATACTGCGGAGGACAAGGTTAAATAAAAGCAGAATTTTATTTTCTTGCTTGATGCTGACTGTGGAAAATCTCCCACTTCACTTGAACACAATACTTCACAAAACATGATTCCTCAGGAGATTCATCATTGCTGTCATCAACTTTCTTTTGTTAAAAATCATCTTCAGTGGGGGCCTTTAGCATTCACTGTCTTTTTTTTTTTCTTTTTTTTTGTGGTAAAAACAAGTTGAACGATGTCTGTAAATTACCATGCATGACATATTGACAAACCCATTTGCAGTCCTTGTGAAAAATAAAAAAAGAACACTAAAACAGCAAATGGCATGATGAAGTGGGTGGATGGAGCAATCAACAGACAGAAGAGGAGGGGGAGGTTGGGAAAATGACAATGGCCATGAAGAAGAGAGGCAAATGATATAAGAAGACTGGCATTTTCTTTAGAATAGCTCTGACCAAAGACAGAGCTATTCCAGAGACATTTGTGTGTCTGGATCTTAATTTGTCCAGTAGCTGGGAGTATCTGTTTTTCGAGACTTAATTTACAAACCTCCAAACACGTTTCTTTTTATTTACGCTATCTGTATTTATATGCAAGTTAAAAGTCCCATGGAGCCTTTGGTGAAGCTAAAGAAATCCACAACTCAAGTGGGAGAAACTCTCAACACAAATATTAGTTCTACATTCAACAAAAAAGGAGACCTTTGTGGAATAATAGCTAAAACAAAGGGCCAGCTGTTGGAACCCCCCGACCCCCCAGAGAAGTCTAATTTTCAGTTTGCCAGAAGCCATCGAGGGGGCTTAGCAGAGATGGAAGAAAGTTCTCCACTCAGATGTGACCAACATTTGATTTCTTTGCTTGCATGCAAAATTGTTTGGTGGTAAAATGGCACCGCACATCTGAATGGGTACACACTCTCCATATGGGATGGTGGCAGCATCGTAATGTAGAGAAGCTTCAGCAGTTACAGGAAGGCCCACTAGAGTTGCTTTGAAAATTGATGAAACGACAAACATGGCAGTGTTGGTATCTTATCTTAAGGACAGCACCAGCAGCCTCAATCTTGGAGCAGAGGCTACTGGTTTAGATCAATTAGAGCAGGGTGGTCAAACATTTCTTAATGTAGATGTAAAAGCTTGGTAGAGACATGGCACAAAAGCCTTTCAGGTAATTGTAACCAAAATGTGGCCTTATAAATATTGACTGAAGTGGGATAAATGTAAAGGCCTGAACTCTCTTCTCTCATTTTTATTTGTTTAAATCACTTTCTGATCTTTCACGCTTTCCAGTAAAATATGCTGGAGCTTGGTGTTGTAACATGACTTTTAATATGACCTGTATGGAAAATGTCTAAGTCGTATGTGGTGTCTCCAACTCCTGTGCATATTTCGATGGGTTTTGGCTTAAGGGGAAAGTACACGTTCGGGGTATAACACCACCTCCATACAAAGAAGGAGGGGGGCACTGTCTGGCAGCAAGAGACTGGAACTCGGGTTACACACAGAGAGAGAGATACGGAAAGAGTGGGATAAGTTCAGCACCACGGACAGCGCATCGGAGAGCAGGAGTCGAGAGATCAGCTCAGCAGCGCACTGTCATGCCTTCTTGAACTACCACAGCCTTCATTGTACACTGCGGTCGTACTAAGTCGTTCTCGCAAGCGAAAACTCTCTTATTTTGTTTCTGTCGGGAGTCGCAATAAAAGGAGGCAAAATCGCGGCAGGAATAATTGCTTTTCGTTTGCAAGTAAAGACCAGCCTATTTGACGGTGTGAGCCTTACATCATCGTGAGGCAGTGAGAGACAGAGAGAAAGAGCGAGCGGGAGAGTGAGAGCACTTGCGCCAGGCTCTTCTCTGCCAGTCCTCAGTCGCAAAGCGAGGCTGACGGATCTCACTGGCGATTTCGCCTCTCTGCTCCGTGGTCCCTCTCCCGTTCGCCTGCGCAGCTCACCGGCCATGAAGATGCACCGGCAGCGTCCTGCCCAGAGACCGTCGTTGTTGTTACCCCTCGTTTTGTGGATTTTCTGCCACGTCAACAGTGTTCACGGAGCTCTACCAACAACCCGTAAGTTGTTGGTGTTTCTCTGTTTGGATTTGTTTTGGGGTGCAGTGCATAGGTGGAAATCAGATTGTGTCACCGATGCAAACCTGAGCTTTCTGTGTGCTGGCAGTGGAGGACGGTGCCAGGCTGCACCGAGGGAAGAGACAGGAAGAAGGGGTTACCCCGAGAGTTTAGATCTCCACGTGCTGCCCTCCGGAATCTTTAAACAAGAGATTTTTGGCACACATATGTTTGGGCGAGCGATATTTCAATATGATTTGGGGGTTTTATAGTGGTGTCTGAGATACTTAAGGAAATATCAGGATTTAAGTGGTGGTGTTTTGTTTTTGTTTTTCGCAACTTCGGCGTAGTCTGTTCCAGAAACAGTTAAGCTCTTGTTTTATTTGCTGATTTTACACGTTCATTTAGAAATGCAGGTTTGCTTCAAAGGAAATGTAAATGTCTTAAATTGCTCTATCATGCGTTTTAGTTACACTATCTTTAGTGTGCTTGTTTTCAGCCTACACACCAAATCATTATTCTTAAGTGGATGGACAACACATGGCTACCGGAACGCAAATATTATTATTATTATTATTATTATTATTATTAAAAAGCAGCTTGTATTTATTTATTTTAGGATTTGTCTGGCGCTGTGTCAAACCCTTTTTATAGTTCTCAGTCTTTTAGCTGTTCTCCATATATAACAAACTGACTTTCTGGTTATTTTCGGATGAACCTTGCATGATCGTTTCTGTCACCCATAATAGCAGCAGTCATATTTTGCTTCACTGAGATTAGCCGTGCTTCCTTCGATTAAGGTCTGGCTAACGGAGAGTCTGCCGAAAGGTTCAGTGAGACCGATTCCCCCGGTGATCGCTAGTGTTTCTCCGGTCCTGGATGGATGTTTGCGGGGTCGCGCATCATTAATCATTCCATCTGACAGGCGACAAGAGGGAGACGCTGCTGCTAGCGATTTGCGTGTGTGTGTGGCTGTGTGTGGTGACACGAAGTGGAACCAAAAAAAAAA